TGGTTTAATTAGAAAAGCTTGGAGGATTGGGAAAAATATCAAACGGCTTGCAAATAGTTTAAAAGGACAATTTATGACACTAAAAATTCTGCTTTTAGTGATTTTTATGATAGATCAGATACTAAAGAGGGTGAAAAATGTATGTATAAATTAGCTAAAAAAAGAGAAAAAAAAGTAAAGATTTAAATAAAGTGTATTCAAGATGAAAATCAAAAAATATTTTTCTTAGAAAAAGATATTTAACATAGGCGGGTGAACTATTTTGTTAAATTTTTAAATGAAATTTCTGAAAATACAATCGATCTTAGTGATCTTAATATCGTTAATAGTAATAATATTTCATTTTTACAGTCGCATTAATAAAAAAGAAGTTGATGAGGCTTTAAAGAAAACCAAGGGTGGAAAGTCTCTAGGACCAGATGATATCCCAATTAAAATGTGGAAATATTTAGGAGATTTGAGAGTTTCTTGGCTTACTAAACTCTTTAATATTATTTTCAAAACTAAAAAAATGTCCGAGGAGTGGAGGAAGAGTATTTTGGTCTCCATTTTTAAGAATAAAAGAGATGCACAAGACTGTGCAAATTATAGAGGAATTAAGTTGATGTATCATTCTTTAAAATTATGGGAGAGGGTAATTGAACATAGTTTAAGACATATTACCAAGATTTCTCATAGTCAATTCGGATTTATGTCGGGCTGGTCTACTATGGAAGCTATACATTTATTGAGAGGTTTGATGGAGAAGTTTGAAGATAATAAGGAGGATCTACACTTGATTTTTATTGATTTAGAAAATGCTTACGATAAGGTTCCACGAGATGTCATTTGGAGCGTTTTTAAGAAGAAAGGTGTTGATATGACTTATATTGAAGTCATTAAAGATATGCATGCTAGAGCTGTTACTTGTGTTCGAACTAAAGGAGGATTGACCAAATATTTTCCTATTTCTATTGGATTACATCAGGGAGTGGCTTTATGCCCATATCTTTTTTGCTTTAGTTATGGATGGTATTACAGGACAATCACAGGAGGATGTACATTTGTGTATGCTTTTTGCTAATGATATCTTTCTTATGGATAAGACGAGAGAAAAGGCCCAGGAAAAACTTGAACTATGGAGGTCTACATTAGAGCTAAAGGCCTTCATTTGAGTAGAATTAAAACTGAATACATGGAATGTAATTTTAGTAGTAGTAACTCTAGTGACAAAAGTGTAAATTTGGGTGATCAAATTATTAAAACGTGTGAATGATTTAGATATCTCGGGTCTGTTGTTCAAAGTGATTGTGATATAGATGGGGATGTTAATAGTAGAATTCTAGTTGGTTGGTTGAAGTGGAGGAATGCTTCGGGCCTTTTGTGTGATAGAAAAGTACCACTTAAACTGAAAGAAAAATTTTATAAGATGGTGGTGAGACTTGCAATGTTCTATGGCGCTGAATGTGGGCCTTTAAAAGAGAAGCATAATGCTAAGTTAAGTGTTGCCGAGATGAGAATGATTAGGTGGATGAGTGGCTTTACACTTAGAGACAAAATGCAGAATGAATATATTCGTATGTACTCCAGGGACGAACAAAATTAGAGACAGTCGTTTTAGATAGTTTGGTCACATTAAACATTGATCAGTTGATGATCCGATTTGGAGAGTAGATGTTTTAGATTCGACTTATGTTAAAAAATGCGGAGGTAGACCTAGGAAGACTTGGGCTTATTGTATAAAAAATGATCTTAATTTATTAGAACTAAATGAAAATATGTTACTAAATAGGACACAATGGAGAAAAAGGATTCATGTAGCTGATCCCATGTAGTGGAATTATGGCTTTGTTGTTGCTGAGGTGTCAGCTATATAAAGATGAAGGATTGAGTGGTATGAATGTAAAATACCTTCCTTTATTGTATTTAAATATTAATAAAAATTGAGTGGTATGCATGTAAATTTTTGAATTGTGAGGTGGCTGGCCTGATTGGTTGCCGGTCGGAGCAGCGAGGTGGCTGGCCGACCGATGGGCGAGGTCTCCGGTCGGAGGACGGCTGACAAGTTTATATGCCATTTATGTAAAATATGTTATTTTTAATAGTTGGTCAGCCGGAGCGACGTGGTGGTTGTCCGGAGGAGGACGTGGTCCGCTGGCAAGGTGGTTAGCCGGAGGCCGACCGACAAGTTTTGAGTGGTATTTATGTAAATCTCTATTTTTAAGAGGTCGGTTGGAGAGGCAAAGCGACTGACAAGAGGGGGAGTTGGCCGATAGGTGAGGTGACCAGCCAAAGGGTGGCCGACAAGATTTGGTGATGGTGAAAACAAAAGTTATCTCAACAACATAATATTTTTTTATTTTTATTTTATTCCGTTTTTAATGAGGTGGCCTGCCGGGCAGTCCTTCATATGGCCGGCCTAAGTGATCGGCTATGTAGGTCTGTGGTTGCTGTCACCTCTGGCGGCGGTGATCATAGCGGCTCGGCAAGGTCATATTTTTGAGATGTACAAGAAGACTCCGAGTTTTTCGCTTCTTGAAGGCGAAGCAGTGATAAGAATGGAAAACTTATAGTTTCGAAAGCATTATTCCATAAGCCTTAAATTTTCAAGTCTTCTCGCTATTTTTTAGTGAATAAGCTTTTTCGAAAAAAACAATCATCTGCTAATGTTCAGATCTTCAGAAAATCTAATCAAACTTGCTTTTTGGATTTTTTGGATCGAAAAATTCTCACAACTCAAGCTCGTTCCTTATTCATCTTTCTTACCCTTATCGTAACATCTCCTCCGGCGGGCCTCACCTTACGTTGTGTCTTAGACGGTATTGTCGCTGCCTTCGCCAGGGTAACTGTCAAGACTTGCTAGTGTGATGATTTGCGTTGTACCATTTGCGGATCTTGTCGCTTTAGGGTAGGGAACCACCTCCATAGCTTCTTCCAACTTGAGCTTTGAGAATGGGCTTTTTGAGATTTCTTGAGGGGGGAAGAAGCTTTGTTTGCTCTTCCCGGAAGAGATATTCAAGTCAAGAGAGTGATCTTTGGGATGCTCGTCCTTGAAGAGAGAGTTAGAGAGCTCATTTTGCTCGCCCTGGAGGGGAGGCTTTAAGTCTTATTTCGAAGGAGAGACTTAGAGAAAATTTGTTGGCTCGCCCCAGAGGGGAGACTTAGAGAGAATTCGTTAGCTCGCTTCAGAGGGGAGGCTTAAAGAGGGAGAGTGATCTTAATTTTTGGAATGCTCTCCCACAGGAGAGACTTTAGTGAGAGCGATGTCTTTTATCTTTCTTTTTTATTTGTATTTACTTTATCTGCTTTTTCTTTTATTTCCTTTATTTATTTCTTAATGAACAATAAGTAAATGAGGCAGAGTGAGGAGGTGCTTATTTTCTCTCATTTTTCTGTACGTGGTCTTCTAGCTTTTGGGTATGAGAGGGGTCATTTCCTTTTTTTACTTTTGTCTTTTCCTCCTTTTATTTTTTTTCTTTACTTTATGTATTGTCATCTTTTTGCTTTGTTTTTTGCTTTTTTCTTTTTGCTTTATGATTTTTATTATGTCATTTTATGTCTCCATCTTCTAGTTCTCTTGTTCTTCTTCTATTCTTCTTCTATTCTTTTTTCTGATTTCTTATTTTGATTTTTTGTTTCTCTGTCATCTGATTTTCTCCAACTTGAAAGATTTTTTATCTTGTTGGTGCACGCTCTATGCTCATTGCACTTTTTAGGATGTTAAATTCAAATCTGGTCAGGAGACCGTGCCCAAGGAATAGGGTTTGGATTTCGAGAGGGTGGAGGAGAGGGAGAGAAAGAGAGAGAGGGTTGCCCCATCTAAGGACAAAATGGGTGACCTGTCGGAGCGACGTGGAGGCCTACCAGTCGGTGGCCGGCCGACAGACAAGTTTATATGTCATTTATGTATAATATGTTATTTTTAAAGAGTTGGCCTACCGGAACGACGAGGGGGCCGGCCGACGGGCGAGGTGGCCAGCTAGAGAACGGTCGACAAGTTATGGTTGTTATTTATGTAAATATCTATTTTTAAGAGTTTGGCCGACAATGGTGGTCGGCCGGAGCGACAAGGTAACCGATTGGAAGGGGAGGCGGCCAGCCGGTGGATGAGATGGTCAGCCAAATGGTGGCTGACAAGTTTGGGGATGGTGAAAAATAAAAGTTATCTCAATGGTTAACATTTTTTTTTTATTATTTTGTTTTTTAAGAGATGGTCGGTCGGGCGGTCCTTCGTATGACTGGCCTTAAGTGGTCGGCCCTGCAGGTCCGTGGTTGTTGCTGTATCTTCGGCGGCGGTGATCCTTCAAACTCAGCGAGGTCATATTTTTGGGCTATACATACATACGATATGCATATATGTATGTATGTATGTATGTATGTATGTATGTATGTATGGATGCATGCATGGATGGATGGTGCATGTATGTATGTATGTGCATGCATGCATGTATGTATGTATATTTTTATGTGCGTGCGTGCATGCATGCATGCATGTATGTGCATGCATGCATGCAGGTATGTGCAGCATGTATTTATCTATATATGTATGTATGTATGTAAGTGCATGCATGCATGCATCTATATGTGTGTGTGTGTGTGTGTGTGTGGTGTATTAGCAAATGTTGCCTTGAGAAGTATTTCTCAATTAAGTATACCTGTAGAAATGATTTAATTGTGCTGTTAAATTTCTTGCCAATGAAATTCTCAGACATGGTGAATTGGCATTGGGAACTTCATGGTCTGATTATTGAGGTTATTGACTGTATTTACTTGTTCTTTCATATATTTGGACTTAAAATCTTTAGTTACATTTTAATTTACTTACCTTCGATTTGAAAAGTAGCCCTCTCGTCCTGTTTCTTAGCAAGTTCTTCCTTTTGAGCTCTTTGGATGAAATCTACTTGCAAAGTTTTTCTCACTGAACTCTGCTTCTTTTTGGCAAATGAATCTTACAACTGTATGGATTTACTATACATTTGTGCAAATATTGTGCTTAATATCTGTCATTTATATTGCGACAGGTCTTGGATTTTCCCGGCGGAAAGGTTATGTTCATTCCAGAGATGAGATTCCTATCGGAGTCCACAGGCGAGAGAATAAGCTGCTATAGAGTTCTTGATGACAATGGGCAAACAATATCAGGCAGCAGTTTTCAGGAGGCAAGTTTTTAAAAATCTGGTGAAGATTCATGTGCACAAAACTAAAAAAAAGTAAATTATTCGCTTTCATATTACAAACTTAGTTTAAACGTTTAAGGGGCCGTCTGGTAACAACTTCAGCAAAATCTAGATTTAGTAAATCATGCCAACATCGGGATTCAGTAAATTAAGGATTTAAGACAAATCTGAAAGCAATTGTGAATAAACTGGATTTATCAAATCCAGGAGTTAATGTTTGCCATTTGTTTTCTGTCTGGTAGATTTTAAGTTAAATCTCACTTAAATCCGTTTCCAAAGAGCCCTTAAATATGATTATTTTGGGGTCCCATTTTTTAGTCACTAATTTTTGAAAATTTATATTTTCTGCCTCCCCATTCATTGAGCAAACAAATCTCAAATGGATACATTTCTTTCATCAGTTAAATAAAGAAACAGCAGTGAAAATGTATAGGGACATGATCACACTACAAATCATGGACACCATCTTCTATGAAGCTCAGAGACAAGGAAGAATATCCTTCTATCTCACTTCGACCGGAGAAGAAGCCATTAATGTTGCATCCGCAGCTGCTCTTAGCAATGAAGACGTCATCTTTCCTCAGGTTAGAACTCTATTTTTAGGAATATCACTCAAATTACTCTATTTTTCTTCCACAAAAAAAAAAAAACTATGCAAACCATATAGTATAGGGAGCCCGGCGTCCTCTTATGGAGGGGCTTCACTCTTCAAGAGTTTGCAAACCAATGCTTTGGCAATAAATCGGACTATGGTAAAGGAAGGCAGATGCCAATTCATTATGGATCGAAAAAGTATAATTATTTCACCATTTCGTCGCCAATTGCGTAAGTAACCTTTTCAACATATAATGGGATGAAAAGATTACACATCAAACTAGCTGATGAACAAATCAAACTTTTCAGGACACAGCTTCCACAAGCTGTTGGAGCTGCTTATTCCCTCAAGATGGATAGGAAGAATGCCTGTGCTGTCACTTATTTCGGTGACGGAGGCACAAGTGAGGTATGTTTGAAACATTTTAGTCCCAGATTCTATAAAAATATCAATTTAATCTTTGAAATCTTTTAATATGGATTGACATAGTCCACACAAAGGACCATTTCAGCCTCAATTTAAAACGTATGGGGACTAATTTGGCAGCTCTATAGACTCTGGAACTTAAATGGCTCCATGTAAATAGTCAAGGGACTATTTTGGCATATTACTCTCCATTTATATATTGTGCCTCAGCTTGTAGTAACTTGCTTCTCATCTGAGTTTTTTGATGATCATGTATGTTAGGGAGACTTCCACGCCGCACTAAATTTTGCTGCTGTTACCGAGTCTCCTGTAATCTTCTTCTGTCGCAACAATGGTTGGGCAATTAGCACTCCCACCATAGAACAATTTAGAAGTTGGTTCTCTTTGCATTTTCTTGCCTTTATTAAAGCAGATATTTCTTCTTTTACATTTATAATTTAGTTTCTGCATTACCAGGCGATGGTGCCGTCATACGAGGCCAAGCTTATGGCATTAGGAGCATTCGGGTGGATGGAAATGATGCTCTTGCTGTATACAGTGCAGTTCATTTAGCCAGAGAGATGGCTGTATGTGAAGCCAGGCCAATTTTAATTGAGGTGAAAGCCTTTACAATCTACTTGCACAACTTGGAATGAATTCATTATGATTCTAAATGCTTTTCAATGGAAATTTACATACGGAGCACTCAATTATTACGTATTTACATATTCCACACTTAAACTTTCATATTTACATACATAGCATTTTGGTGCTTTAAACTTATTTCTGAAAAGATGTCTTTGACTTTTAAAAAATGGTAATCATGCTATTTTTGATGTGATATTAAGACTTTGCTTGCTATGTGTGTAAATATGTAAGTTTAGGTGTGATATATATAAATGCATAATAATTGTTTGCTATGCATGTGAATGCCCCTTATGTTAAATATGCAAGGCACTAACCTACAGAGTTGGACATCATTCAACATCCGACGACTCGACGAAATACCGGCCGGCTGATGAAATCGAGCATTGGAGATCAGCCAGAGACCCTATTTCCAGATACAGAAAGTGGATTGAGAGGAATGGCTGGTGGTGTGATGATGCTGAATCTGAGTTTAGAATGAGTGTCAGGAAAGAGGTGAATTGAATTTGTTAAATTGATTGCATTTATTTTCGCTAATTGAACTAGAAATTCAACTTTGATAACTTCACTCCAGATTAAATATCCAGAAATGATTTTTTTTTATTAAGTACTTCATATCCAATATAAAGAATCCCTTGCTATATTTGTATGCAGTTATTGCAAGCAATTCAGGCTGCAGAGAGAGCGCAAAAGCCGCCATTGGAAGAATTATTCACTGATGTTTATGACATTGTGCCTTCGAACCTGCGAGAACAGGAGCAAGTTCTTCGCCAAACCGTTAAGGAACATCCTGGGGATTACCCGTCTGATGTGCCTGTTTAGCTTAATTGAGTTTAATACCTTGATTAAGGGTATTAGTTTATGTACCTAATTTTTTATAATTCCCCCAGTGATGATATTTATAAGTCAGTGATTCATGGGGGAAAACAAATTGCAAATTTTAAAAATAAATTGAGAGGCTGTAGTTTCACAATCATCGTTGTCCTCATTTTAGCAGCACAATGAGTCATCAACATCTTCAAAACATTTTTTTCTTGCCTTTATGCTTCCTCCCATTTTGCCTTCACTAAACTATAACCCAAGGACATTATACTACAACCATTTGGAAGGGATAGGTTAGTTAAACCATTTACATTTTCTGTAATTATATGAGAGTTATAATATGTTAGTGCTATTTATTTTCTACTTTTGTGATATGGTTCTAGCTTTTTGGTATTTACTTTAACTTTATTTTTAATTCTAAATCTTATTTCTCCACCATTTGCTCAACGGAAATTGGAAAAATAAGCTTAAATTCGCAAGTATTGTGAACTTTTCTTCTTCGAACATAGTTGTTCTATCAATGCCTTCTTCTATGAGCTCCTAATGCAATTTTATATTCATTATGGATGTTGTCTCCAAATGGCTTCGATCATGTCTTAATTAGTCATTGATGCCTTCTCCAATGAGTTCCCATTATAACTTCTTTACTTATTTCAGAGATGCTTGTGGCTTGCCTTCAATGCTTATTTTTCTGAGACTTCCTCACTTCTCGCAGCAATGCCATCACTAGTAAGCTCTAGTGAAAATCCAATAAGCTCTCACCATGAGGGTTTTGAGAATTTTGGGTACCATGAGTTCTCGAGTTGATATTCATCTCATTAATCAAGCTCGAGCCCATGTTAATCGGGCTAGCCATGTGTGAGTTCATTGTAAAAGCATTGCTCATGGTCAAGCTCAAGTTTAAGCCTTCTTTTATATTATAAAATTGAATATAAGTTGGCTATGTAACAAGGTTAATACTAATAATTTATACCCTTTTGTCCATCAAACTTAAAAGTAGATTAGCCTTTGTTGTTAATTTTTACCCTTAGAGTTGCTCGTGTTATAAATCCGACATAAATTTGAATAAATAAAATTAGACAAAAAAATCTTAATGACATGAACATTCATCCTTATTCGAAAGTGCTCCTCAAGAATCATGCTCATGATATAATTAATTATTTTTAGCATGTTAGATTGCTATAATCAAAATAAATCTTATATTATGTCGGATATTTAGAGGAGGAAATTTGTTTCAATCACATATCCTCGTCATCGGAGTCCATGCGAAAAGTCATTTTCGACCTCTAAAATAGCACGACTCCATTTTCATTGATTTCACTTTGTAGATAGGGGTGTATAAGACCTTGTTTATTTTTATTTTTACTCTCACATAAGAGCATAAAGGTCCAAGGTCCTTGTTATGCCTTCATACTATTCAATCACTTATAGCCCCCTACCCCCACCCCCTTGCCTCCTTTAGTTGCATAAATCTCTTTTACAAACCACAACCATTAGCTATTTATTTTTTTAATGCCAATATATATTCAAATGTTGGATCAACAAATTGAGGCCTCATTTGGCTATGTTGGATCAATAACTTTTTTTTTTTTTGTATGTATTGTCTTACAATATTTTTTATACTTGCCGAAATCATTATATTTCGACATTTCTCTTGGTCACAAAATTGAGCGTTTTTAGTAATTAAAAAGTCGATAATTGCAAAAAGAAAAAAAAAATGCAATAATGTCATAATATATTTTAAAAAAACACTAATTATTAATTTGAAATTGACTGAAAATTATTAAATTAATAAACTAATTTTAATTTATTTAATTCTTTTCTTAACGTTTTGAGCAAGCTAATTATAAACTGAGTAAATATGTGATGGGAGCCATAGATCCTAACCACTTTGCCAAAATGGGCCACTTGTGCTACTTGATTCTTTGTGGCTTTGTGCTTTGCATTCAATTTTTATTTTTAATTTTGCATGTTCAAATAATTTTAGTATAAAATAATAAATTTTTTACACCTAAATAATAACTTAATAAAATTAAATTAATTCAATAAACTAGCTTAGTTTAACTAAAATATCCTTATTTCAAATAAAATAGTCTATTTTTAGTAGATACTTCTATGTGCATAGAAGATGAGAAAGTGCTGCGAGTAATAATAATAATAATAATAATAATACTATGAGTTATGTTAATTTTAGTTAAAATTCCATATTAAGCATAAGTAACCTTTTATAAATATCAATTTTAAATTAAAGCATAGAGCATTACTCTAAAAAATAAAGGATTAAAATAATTTCAGAATATTTTGATTTCCTAGAATAAAGTTTTAAAATATTTTTTTTAAAAAAATAAATATAATATAAATTGTATTTTTTTTTCTTTTTAAATGGAAAAAAAATATTACGTCAGGACTCCGCACGTAGAGTTACGTGCGGAGTTCAATGAAATTGCGCTGTGTAGGTGATCGACCCCGTAACACAAAATAATATTCCTCTCGCGTTATTCTGGTGTTATTGTATGTTATTCAGGTGTTATTGTCTGTTATTCAAATATTATTGATGTGTTATTGTGTTATTATAACATCGGGAACATTCTCAGAATACAATAACACCTGAATAATACGGAATAACACGAAAAATATATTCTCTTATATTATCAAGCCTCATCTCCACAACGTAATTGGAGTCCTGATCTACTAGTTTTTCTTTTACATGTCACTTTTCTGATTATTCTACGATTTATTCTAACTCCTACCAGGAACCGCGAGTGGTGCCCTTCTGACGTCCAAAGATTCCCTCCACTCCTTTTTCTTTTTTTAGTTTTTTAAATACTTATTTTATTCAATTTCCCTCTCCCCTTCTTCGTTAAATCCCTCGTCCCCCTCTCCTCTCTTCAGAGCTCTCACAACAACACGAGTAGGAGAAGAAAGAATAGGCGGAGAAGCAGAAGACTGAAGAAATTATACGTACAGAGGTAAGATAAAGCTCTTCTTTATCAAAGTATGGGCTATGCATACATAGTTGTAAATTTGTTTTTGCCTTTCTTTCAACTGCTTAGTTGCTTGATTGTTTCTTAACATGAGGTTTCTCTTTAGTTGCTTGATTGTATTTTTTTTCATGAGATTTTTGTGTTGGATAATAAGAACCCTAATGAAGGAAAATCTCCAAGCTCGAATCCTCTCGAGGCTATTTTTCTTCTTCTTTCTCTCATTTTTTGAGATTTATGTGGTAGATTTTTCATTTTCAAACGCTGATTGGGATCAAACTGGCCGGATTTGGTGGCCAGTGTGGGTTTAAAATGACCTAATCTGAGTCAGATTCCTGCTTATTGATATGCGCATATTCATGTTAAATTGTTTTATTTTTTGAGAAAAGTTTTGTGTGACTTTTATTTTTATTTTTTGAACATTAAGATCAATCTGTCTTTTCTCATCACTCTTGATTAGATGAGGTAATAGCATTTTAGATAGTCTGTCTAATTTTTTTGAGCATTAACAGTTTCACAACTATTTTTTAATAAATTGCAGCTGAGTCAAAAAGACCGTTAAATCCTGGTGAACTTCAAAATGATTTTTAAAATTTTTATTAAGTAGACTAATTTGATCTATCATATACGAAAACTTAGTTCGTGGCACCGTTTAGTAAGTTTAAATATTTTATTTACCCTGTGAATTTTTTTTTCCTTAAAAGCTAAATATTTTCTTATTTTCATATTTTTCTATGAGCTGCTCGTGACTGGACGGATTCAACTTGGCTTTTGCTAAACTTCATTTCCCAATCGCCCCAGTTTTGACTGAAAAAAATAAAGCTCTCGCACGCATGGGTGTAAATTCAAAAATCCTAAAATAATAAGAATTTCATTCTTACAATATCAGAACATCTTTCAACGTCAAATTAATTCTTACTTAAAACTCTAATCTAAAGTTATAAAAAGGTTTAAGGGTCTGTTTGGGGCAGTTGCAGCTTATTGAATAATCTGCTGATAAGTTGATTAAAAATAATCTATCGATAAGCTAGATGCGGTGACTACTACAAATTTTGATTTTCTTGGAGAAGTCAGACCGCAGCCAGAAAGCTGTCACCGCACCTAAACATGTGCGGTGTGAAAACAACACTGTTTTTAGCGTTTTGAAAACGCATAAGCTGCCAAACACAGTTTACCCAAACAGGTCAGGTGTGCTTTCAAAATGTCACCGCTCCCAATAAGCTGCCCCAAACAGACCCCAAGTCTCATTCATCATTTCAACTTAAGATGCTATTTGTTTTTTGGGGAATTTACATACACACCACACAATTTATATGTATTTACAAATCTAACACCCAAAGTTTGATTTTTACATTTGTAACTTCTATATGTCATAAACCTATTCATGAAAATGTGTGTTTAACTTTTTAAAAAAGTTGTGATTGTGATGTGATGTTAAAGGTTTGAGTGGTATGCATGTAAATATGAATGTTTAGGTGTTAAATATATAAATACATAGGAACTATGTGGTATGCATGTAAATGCCCCTTGTTTTTTTATTTTTTCCTTTAGTTTATTAAAAAAATAATTTGAAAATAATTTTTTCTTCTAATTATTAGACGTTTCAAACTAATTTATATTCAAAGATATAAGTTTATCTTTTAAGTAGATTTAAATGAGGGCTTCAAAAATTAGTCAACTTTTAGGGTCGAACTAAAATCAAAGTCAATAAGCCAAGTTAAGCTCATGTTTGCTTAACCTGAATAGAATCAATCCAGCACAAGGTTGTATCAATGTCAGCGAGCCATGTTTACATTGATTCAATATCATATCAAGCATCTAACATGACTTAAAAATTTAGGAACAAAAAAACAAGTTCATCCAAAAATTCAAAATGTTAACTCTTTGAATGAATAGAAAAGAAAACAAATTCAAAATGGAGAAAAAAAATAACTTAAATCAAGTGTGCCTGAACAGTTAAAATCTTCTTAAATTATTTTTTGGAAAGTAGCATTAGAATTTGAAAAGATCATTTTTATAGCATTTTCAAATCATTTTCTTTTGTTGACATATTTGATTTCTAAATCAAAAGCATAGCATAAATTTTATATATCTACGTCTAAAACTATAACTTCGTTAAATTTTATATAGATTTATAAAAATATGTCATATTTAAATGTTTACAAATCTATTTCAAACTTTTTTAATAAGAATAAAAAATGAACACATGAAGAGAACACAAACAAATGAAACATATTGTCCTCTATAATGTGTTATATATGAATAAGTGCCTTAATGGGGTTAATAATGCATTGTTAGGATTAGAATTATTTTTACAAAGTCATTTCGAGAACCAACTTAAAT